GTCTATGCACCCACATTTTGACATTATATTAAATTTAATATAGAAAAACGCATTTCAACACAGGACGTAGCCATTTTGCAAAGTTAGGTCAAGGCCTAGGCGATTAAAAATTACCGCTAATACTTCAAACTTAGCCCACACATCCAATTTGCAGTCTAGCCTAAACAAGTGAATAATTATGCTAACTTGCTCTTACACTACCCTACAGTACTCTAGTCTAGACCTAGTCTCTTACCTAGCTACTACTAGGCTAGGGCCAGAGGGCCTGACTGGCCTATCCTAGCTAAAACGAAAGATAACCACATATATAAAGCAAGCCTATACAGTTACGATATTGGACTGGCCTAAATACACCCTTTAGATTACAAATATAAAATTCTTACCATTTATTTGATAATGCTGAAATTCTTTAGTTGTAAACTGGGAATGAAGCCAACGTACAGCAACTGATACTTCAATTAGCCAAACGGTGTGTCGCAAACATTTTATTTATTATTAATCAAAAGTTACGAAAGTAATGACAAATATCACTTTTGATACATTGTAACAACATATAAAGCTAGAATGTCCTGAAATTTTAGCATTTAGGTATGATTACTTTTGGAGTTCGTTGGTAGCATATGTTTGTTTATTGCTTAAATCCTGGGTGTGTTTTTAAAACAGGATTATTTTTATTTGGTTGGTTAAATGTTGCTATCAAATACTCGATTTTTTCGTAGATAAATGTTTTTGACAGGTTAAAGATATGTTGGCACTTAACAATTCCGGAATATTTTTAATCATGAGTGCTTTTGTTTGTTGGAGTTGTAACATACGTTACACTTTCTCGTATCATTCGTTATCAGTTTTGACCGTTACATTTTTGAATATTTAACAAAGAACCTTTTTATTACAGGTTACAAGTGCATACAAGTGGTAATCTTTTGGTTCGTAACTAAACAGTTTAGAACAAATGTCATGGGAATAATATAAAAAGAATATGTGATATTTATGCATTTACCTTTAAATTTACCATCACAAAAATACAGTTTACTAAAGAAAAAATACGCAAAAGTGCCCAAAAAGTGTGATTATAGGAAAACTGTCTGCATTCTATTGTGGAAAGCAACAGTGAAAGTATATTTGAGATGCGAATTAGTTACATGAACATTTTTACATGAGAATTTTATTTTATAAACGCATCGTAACGTGACACTATAACAATTCCCTGGTTTCCACGAATGATTTGTAACTGTTTCTTAATGTTGGTGACAAAAATAAAAGTTGACAAGATTACATATTCATATTTTCCTGAATCATTATTCAAATTGTCACCATTATTTTTTTTGAATTATTAAGACAATTTTGATTTGATTTTTTTCCCCGAATTTTTGAAACGTGAATTGGCAGTTTTGTAGTGGTTTTGACCAAACTGATTGGTCTGTACCGACCTAATCCGATTAGCCCATTACTTGCCACACTTTCAAGGACAGAGAACCATGAAATTACCATAATGATTAAAGATAAGATGCTCCTATAATATGAGTTTTTCTATACCCCACCATTTAGGTAAATTTAAATAAATCTTCTAAAACTATTTCTATAGAAATTTTATGTCCAGTTGAGGTATAGTTAAAGAAATTTAAGCTTCGTTGAAAAAAATAACATTATAAACGTTTATTATATGTTAAAATACAAACTAAATTTTAATTTGACATTGAAAAGATGTTGAACTTTATGTTGTTACTGTGACTTTAACATCTTAACCAGTTTTCAACGTTTTTATTGTTGAAATAATGTTGAGTAGATAATGGGTAGGCCTACTTTGTAGAAACATATACAGTAACACATTTTCAATGTTGATTTTACATTGAAATAAAAACTATATTTAAAGTTAACGTTGGAAAAACATTGTATAATTATATCGTAATTGTTATGTTAAAATCGCAACCCGATTTCAAAGTGAATTCATTGTTGAAATAAAGTTTTGGTAGAATCTTAAACTCTGGGTTGAAAACATAACGTGTTGCTTACGTTAAAATAAAACTATATTTTAACTTGACATTGAAAAGATGTTGAACTAATGTTGTTACTGAAATTTTAATATCTCAACCAGTTTGCAACATTTATTTATTGTTGAAACAACGGTGAGTAAATAATGGGTGCTTTGTAGAAACACAACACATTTTCAACGATGATTAACATTGAAATAAAGGCTAGGCCTATGTTTCAATTTAGTGTTGGAAAAATGTTGAATAAACATTGCAATTGTTATGTTAAAATGTCAACCAGATATCAAAATGAATTCAATGTTAAAATAAAGTTGAGTAAAAACCTATATATTTTGAAAATTTATTTAACGTTGAGAAAACGTTAAATGAACAATGGGTCTTTGGTTGAAAAACATCATAACACATTTTCAACGTTGATTCTACATTGAAATGCAATTTTAAGTTGACGTTGAAAAGATTTTGGACTTATATTGTTATTGTAAATTTAGCCTATCTCCGCATATTTCCAACGTTTATTTAACGTTTAATAATGTTGAATAAACAAGATTGAATATTTAGGAATTTTACTGAATTAGAATCTTAATTGTGAAGAAATTGCTTACTCAGTTTTAAAAAGATATACTGTATATGAATTTCGAATAAAATGAAATGAAATTGTTGAAACAAGTTTGAGTTAAATTAATGGATATACAGTACTGTAAAAAAGAAAACAACACATTTTCAACGTTGATTCTACATTACTATTATATTTAGACTTAACATTGTATTAATTGTTATGTTAAAATGTCAACCAGATTTTAAAGTGAATTCAGTGTTGAAATAAAGTTGAGTAAAAAAATATATTTTAACTTGACACTGAAAAAAAATTAACTTATGTTGATATTGTAACTTTAAAATCTCAACATATTTGCAATGTTTATTTAACGTTAAAAAATGTTCAATAAACAATAGGATTGTGGCTGAAAATCATAGGCCTATCACTTTTTCAACGTTGATTTCACATTAAAATGTAAACTATAATTTAACTTAATATAACTGAACATTGTCACTGTAACATTAAAATCTCAACGTATGTTTAACGTAGAAAAAACGTTGAATAAACTAAAGGTTTTTGGCAGAAAAACATAACATAATTTAAACGTTGATTATACGTTAAAATACAAACTATATTTTAACATTACATTAAAAAGATGTTGAAATAATGTTGTTAATGTAATTTCAATATCTAAACCATTTTTCAACGTTTATTTATTGTTGAAATAACGTTGAGTAAGTAATGGATACGTTGTAAAAATACACAACACATTTTCAATGTTGATTCTACATTGAAATAAAAATTATGTTTAGAGTTAACGTGGGAAAAATGTTGAATAAACATTGTAATTGTTATGTTAAAATCTCAACCAGATTTCAAAGTGAATTCAATGTTGAAATAAAGTTAAATAAAACAATATATTTTAACTTCACATTAAAAAAAAAACATTGAACTTATGTTGATACACTAACTTTAAAATCTCAACAGATTTGCAACGTGTATTTAACGTTGAAAAAACGTTCAATAAACAATAGAGTTTGGTTGAAAAGCGTAACACATTTTCAACGATGATTCTACATTGAAATGCAAACTATATTTTAACTTGACGTTGAAAAGATGTTGAACTTACGTAGTTACTGTAATTTGTAACATTAAAATCTCAACATATTTTCAACGTTTATTTAACGTAGAAAAAATGTTGGATAAACAATAGGTTTTTGGTTGAAAAAAGAAGCACATTTTCAACGTTGATTCTACATTGAAATGCAAACAATATTTTAACTTGACGTTTAAAAGATGTCGAATACATGTTGGTACTGTAATTATCAACCAAATTTCAACATTAATTCAACGTTGAATTAACGTTTAATTATCAACAGGGACTTGGGTTAAATACACAACATATTTTCAACGTTGATTCAATGTTGAGTATATGTTGTCAACATGATACTAACGTTTCAACTACATTTCAACGTCGATTCAATGTTGAATTAACGTTGTGTGCCCGCTGGGATATATAGAAAATACATATCATTTTTTTTTTCTCCCCGACGAATTGTGATTTTTCTTCTTTTTTGAGGGGGTAATTATCTGGGGGAAAAAATTCCCCTCCCCCGCTGGCGCCGCCACTGCCTGGCAGGATGGTTTGACATTGAATGTACTAATTTCGTACGCTAAGCAAGTACTCCCCAGGAAGCAGAGACGGTTGCACTTTGTGCTGGTTTGCCATTGTACCGTATGTTATATAGGGGAACGCTCAGCGCCTTTTATCATTCCAATGTGGAATTGGCGCTATAATACTTAGTGGTTGTTGTTGTTCTTGTTGTTGCTGGTTGCTGTTGTATTGTGTTGGTCGTTGTTGGTTGTCGCTAGCTACTGTTGGTTGTTATTGTTGCTGCTGCTGCTGTTATTACTGTATTATGCCTCTTTTAAAGTCATTTTGTATAGATATGTATTGTGCAGTTCTGTGGTCTATATTACCATAACGCTTTCCGTATTCTACTCCGGTTGCCACTATATTGCAGTGCTAGTGATGTTTGTTAGTCGTGGTATACCGTCATTTTTTTAATATGTTAGAAAGGCTGTGTATAAACATATTTTCAATAGTGACAACTTATTAGTGTCAACTGTAAATGAGTATTTCCTTGATGGCTCCAAGCTAAATTGTAGGTGGCGTGAACTGCTACGGTATTAGGACTAACTATAACCTGTTCATTTTATTTTGTCTATTGATATTTTTTTTTCTTTCTCTCTATTGTTAAGCTGTATCGCTGTCTCAAGTTTGAGTGAGGATATGGACTACGATCTGAAATATGATGTGAAATGAATGAAATTATGATTAATTAGAGGGTTTCTTGGTGTTGCTGGGGTGGGGGGTGACCACCTATATCGCCACCCCTTGAACTGGTGTACCATAGAAATGTGTATCAATAATCCTACAGCTGGCCACAATAATGACCATCATAATCAATGTATAATATTTTTTTTTACCTCGACGATAACGTTTATTCAATACACACTTAGCTTACAAAACATTAGCACCGAACTGCAAAGAAAAATTGCATTACACTAATCCACACATATACACACACACTCTACTTCTAAAAATGTCTATTCACATTGCAGATAATAATTGAAAAATAATTGAATAATGCGACATTAACACATTGGCTGCCATGCAGTTTATGCTTAAGCCTATGAAAAAAACTTCAAGCAGATTCCACCATAATGTTAGAGATAGAATATAAAAAAGTGCTTCGTTCTGTTGCAGCAGCGCCCTCAGCGACACCTTATCATGTGACTACATCCATCTGTGGCAGTCAATGTGTTTATTAATGCTGTAATTATTCAAAATTACAATTATACATTGCCTATCATAAAAGTTAAGCACATGACACATCATGCCTTACCCATAGGGGCCAAACATCAAGGTAAATATTAAATTCACATGTAAAAATAAAAAAAATGGTCCATATTGCACATGAGTTTTTTAGCACATGTGCCATATAGCACATGAGTCATATTGCACATGGGCCATACAGCACATGGCCATATAGCACATGGGCCATATAGCACATGGTCCATATTGCACATGGGCCATATTGCACATGGGCCATATGACACATGGGCCATAGCATATGATCCATATTGCACATGGGAGAAATGGCTCAAACGTCTCATCTGATACACGGTGCGTAACTCAAACAGGCATCTCAATCCTCCAGCTGAAACAAGAATTGAATAAGAGGTTAAAGTGTTGCAGAGATCTTCACGTATTAGCACACACACAGTATCTATTACAAGTTTAGTCGACTAAGATACGCTACTCCCTCACAGCCCTCGCAGCAAACTCAAAACATTCTTTCGCGAACACTGTGATTTGGTTTGTTATAAAATAACAGTTATGATCAGCTTGGTCAACATTTTTTTAAACTATTAAGATTTTGGAATAGTTACCCTTGGTCAACACATTTTTTGTTCTACTAACAAATGTAAAACAATCCAAAAAAACTATACATTCAGCGGCGTAGGGATGGGCAGCGCAGCCAGTGCAAAGCACTGGGGCCCTGGGCTATTAGGGGTCCATCCATAAATAGGCCTAAAAATAATTTCCAACTTAATATTTTTTAATAAGGAAACGGCCAATGGGTCCTCAATAATATTTAGGTTTTGAAAGGAGAAATTATTAACTGCTTTGTTAATTTCAATTCAGTGGTTAATTCAAGGGAACAGCCGGCCCAGCCCCATTGAATTTTTTTAAATTATAAAAAAAAAAAAATTATACATAAAAAAGAATATTTTGATTTAAAATTAAGTCTAAGAAATGTACCATTTTTGGCCATCTAGAGGTGCCATAATTATGAATTTTTAATTCCAAGAACTACCGTAATTGTTTAATTTATGTTACCTGGATTTTCTTTATTATTACCCTACCCGCAGGAGAAATTTACGGCTCCCATCACCCCTCCACTAGCCATAACTCAGGTCTATGGCCCTCGGTTCACATCACAGGGCCCTGAAATTAATCTTGCACTGGGGCCCATTCTAATCTAGCTACGCTGCTGTATACATTCAATATTGCGTACACAAAGTTACATTTATGGCAAACAAGATCAATATTAACATGATTTATGTAATTACATTTTGTCACAATTAAAAAGTTTTTTACACTTTTAAAATACGAAGTGGATATATTCATGGTTACATCAAATTGCACAATACTGAGAATTTCAAATGCTAACCTCATTATTCTGGTTTCTAAAAACAGGTCTCCCACCAATTAAAGACCACTTTAGGAACCAGGGTTTCTATGGTCTTTAGCAGCTTTGGTCCTTAATTAGAATAATAAAGATAAAAGACATTTGTTAATTTGGGACCATAGAAAGGTGGGCTTTAATTGGAGTTGGTACTTAATTAGAGTGGTCTTTAATTAGAGGGAGACCTGTAAAGGTCTCCCTCCAATTAAAGACCATTTTTTTAATTTGAGAAACATGGAAAAGTGGTCTTTAATTAATTGGCGGTGGTCATTAATTAGAAGGGGTCATGCACTATCATCAATTTAAATTAAGGGTTGATGTTTCCAACCTTCCTAATAATATACTATCTGAACTTTAAGGGTGGAATTGACTCAACTATCCAAACATCATGGAACTTACAAAATTGATGTAAACCTTTCATTGTTTCTCCATAAATATATCCACAGTCTTTAAAATATTTCATTCATATAAAGATACACATAAAGCAGCAGATAAATAGTGGCTATATTTTTACAATATACAGTATTCACATTCTCAACAATTGAGGGCAGTTTACACAATTTCAAAAAGTACAGTTTATGCAATCTTAACAACTGGGGGCAGCATACTTGATTTCAAGAACAAAATTGATCAACAGTAGCTTTTAGGTTATATGAGGCATGTTGTGGCAAAATGGCTAAGTTGTAGCAAAAATTAAAATTCAGGTTATTGGTATTTTCAGATACCTGAGTATGTGATCTTTCAAATGAGGGGTCATTAATTGAAATTGGACATTTCAAGCCTAAAGTTACTGGAAAGTGAAAGTACAGTACTTTTAGAATCAAGATAAACATGATTTTGAGTTATCATACACTGTTTAATAGAATGAACTATCAAAATAACATTAAATAAACAATTTCTTGACCACTTCCAGAACTAATACTTTGGTACATGATTAATAAGACATTAATCTGTTGATTTATAATGAAAAACAAATTAGGATTTTTAGGCAATTTTTTGAGCTCCCATATTTTATAGCTCATTTACTCAATACTGGCCTGTGTGACAACTTAACCATTTCGCCATGACATGCCTCATATAAAAAAATAGTAAATTATATCTGTCAAAGAAGTAAATTAAATAATAAAAAAAACACAAAAAATGTCATGAATCCCTTGGAAAGTAAAAAAAAAAAACAAAAACATTAAGCATGTGAAAACCAGAGGTCACTAAAAAGAAAGAATCCATTTTTAAGGAGTTCTGGAGCTTTCATAAGACACATTTAACTTTATATTGCTGTGCATAGTGACAATCTTCACTAGCTGACTTCCGGGAAACAATTTATAGTACAGTAGTAAAAACAAGTAATTATAATGAATTTGCGGGAAATGGATTAAATTTTCACGAGATTTTTGTTTTCTTGCTTGGGCAACTCAATTTTTCTGGGAGACTCCCACTATTAATGGGACTTGCAATCCCTAGTGTAAAACACACAGCATCAATGCTTTTTCAACAAGCAAAAACACAGACCAATTATTGAACGTTGTGGTGTGTGCTGGCTGTTGATTCTTTAGACATCGGCGTAGTTCCATCTGCCTTCTCTGTATGTCCAGCAGACATATCAACACTGGAAAACAAAACAAAAAAAGATGTTGAGGGCGCTATTGTATATCATTTAGTGGAGCGGTTAATATGCTTGCATTCTAATTTCAGAGTCCTGGATTGAAATCCTGTAAAAATAAACCCAGGGAGAAAAACAGCTCTACTAATTAAGCTGAATATGGTTATTATTCAAACATACTAGGCCCTGCATTCTTTTCAAGTACTGAATTAGTATTGACAGTGATCAACTTGTTTATTAAGTAACTAACACTACTTGTTATGTGTGCAATTTGTAAAAAAATACTGACAAATAATCAGATTAACAAATGCTATAAACTATAGCATGTAGGTGCCTACTGTTCAATCAATCAATTAAACATTTAATCGATCAACCACTAACTTAATTTGGATGCTGCATTACAAAAAGGTCTTCATTAATGAACGTAGGGGAAGGAGCAGTTAGGAGCCCAATGTACAATGATTGTACTAAGCCTCGGCAATGTGTGGTAGGGTGGCCATTTCCTTTCCATGCTGGTTCTTAATATTAACCTCCTCAGCAAATGTTAACCAGGTACCCAATCATACTCCTGGATGGAGAGAGACAAGTGTGCACAGGCGGAATGCACAGCTAGGTGTTCAATCCCCTGACCCTGAGGCTAAGAAACAGAAATGCAACTGCCTGTGCCAAATAGATATAATGCATTAACCTATCAAATTCAATGTTTTTTAAAGCTAAGTCTGTAATCCATGGGTTTTCTGTGGTTTGTCATAAGCACCAACCTTGCCTCCTTATAACTTCAAATGATTTGATATTGTGGTTTGATTATACCGTACTCACCTACTAAGTGGCTGATAGGCTGGTTGTGGGTACATCGTACACGCATCTGGCACCAGTGCAGGCTGAGAAGATGTATCAATATCTGGTCTTAGCACAGAATATCCATTTGCATCGTATGTTGGCAAATCGCACGGTATGTAGCTTGCAGACGGTGACAACGGCGTTGCTCCAGGTTGCATCGGTCTGTTTGGGTACGGGTATGCAGGCACCGGTGCATATGTGATCATTGCGTGTCCTTGCGTGTACTGCACAGGTTGCACGCTTAATGGATTCGCATTCATCATGTTCTGTCTAGCACGTCGACGAGCGGTGGCTCCGAGGAAAATGAACAATAACCCGCTTAAGAGAAGCATGAACCCCAGGATGTTGGTTCTCTGTGTAGCAAGTGCAATGCCGAGCACAAACATCAACGCACCCACGATCATAAACGCTCTACTACACCCCTGAGAGGCTGCTTGTTGTCGATCGGCTGCGATGAACGTCAAGTATGTTAGTGGCTGAGAGTTGTTATTCGGCACTGTTGTCTGTCCATACACCATCTGGGGGTCTGGATTATGATGATACATGGTGTCCTATGTGGCCAAACTACCAATCCTTAATTCTGTGAATAAAGCGATCGATGCTCCAAAAGTAATATGTGCACATTCAATATAAACAATCTGTTTGTCAAATATCTATTCAAAGTTCAATTCATATTTTATTTTCAGATGAACATAGATATAAGTACAAATACAAAAAGTGGAAAACTGATATCCTTGGAACGTCAAAAAGACTCTCAAAACAGAATCTACAAACAACAGAAAGCTCAATAAAAATGTAACAAATAACAATATCAATCCAACTGTCATCTAAAAATGCCACCAAATTTTCTATTGGAAAAAAATAGTGCTTAGTTAAAAAATAAAAGGTAAAAAATTCAGTATTTTGATCCAGATATTCTTTGATTATTAATTCAAATTGTTGTGGGTAATTACTAAGGGTCAATCTAATATTAATATTATTATTTGGGGAAAAAATGTCTTTAAAATACAGTAATATTAATATCAAATGGTTTCATAAACAACCCATTATTTGTAGTCACCTCAGGGTGAATGGAAGATTGAGCTAATATCCAAACATACAGTTGGTTATGTATATATGCCTTTTTTGGTGTTTTTTTTTTCTTTTTCATAAAGACTAGTTTTGGACTAAAACCTGGCACAATAATAATACAGTAAATATTCAAGTCGTTTCATCTGGTTGGCTTTGTGAAATAGTTAATCAAATAGTTCTACAATAAATACGGGTCAATAAAAAAATAAACAAAAATAAATAAAACCTTAAAATATCATAATTTATATCATATGTTCTCATAACATTAACATGCCAATGACCGTCTTTCTGGAGCGCCACTCTCAGTAGCTCGCTCAGGCTCGCTGGCAGACTTACTGGTTTTTAGCGAGAACTTAGCCTAGCAGCGTCAAATAAGAATAAGACGAACCGAGGAAGCAGCATACAATACGCACAGCAAAAACCAAAATAATAACAATACAACAGCAACGCATTCTTTGTTTGTATCTTAAATGCATTTTATAACGCCAGCCTATATGAGAGAGAAAAAAAACTCTTCGGTATCATGATCATACCAAACTACTTAACATTTTACACGCATAAATCATTTTGATTGTTTTCGCAAGAAACAGAATACTACAACAGTTTAAACATACAACAGGTAAGTGTGAAAAACCAACAATAGAACAATAATAAAATACTGAGCGAATAATTCAATGATTTTGATACTTACTCGGTTGAACAAGGATTACGTGGTTGTAGATTTGTTCTAAGAATAATTAATGATTAGGTTAAAAAATGCCAGAAATCAGAACAAAAATATGATATTCTACTGTGTTTATACACAGCCATCGTCGAGTATAAACAATAACATGATGCCCGCCCTCAGTTGACATCATGAAAATGAAAATTATTTTGTGTGCAAAATTCCAACTAAATGAGGGCCTAGGTTTATACAATAGTGACTGACATTCATGAACTTTATGGAGAATAAACGCAAGGCGTTCATAATTGTTATTTAACTCATCAGTGGTGCAGCCTATATGATAGCTAGACACGTTGATCGGGGAGGGGAATTACAAATTTTCCGAATGGGCGCACTAGAAGGGCCACGCCCACCTTTGTTGAACTTGAAAATAGGACTGACTCTTAGACCGAAAGTATTGCTGACGTTCAATTTTAAATTAAATTTAAATTATGTCGGTTAATTAGATCAAACAAATTGGCATTTTTTGAGGAAAGGGGAGGGGTGAGTACCAGCATGTCAACACCAAACCTCAGCCCCACCATGGCAGTGGGTGAGGCGGGGAAAAAAATCAGGATGGAGCATCTTCAAATGCCGGAAATAGCTTTCTCAGACTTAAAATATTACAAGGTTGAGGTATGGGCTGAGATGAACAAATTCAGTGTGCAGTGGCAAGTTCTATGGTCTGATATAGCACTTTTATCTTTTGCGAAATTGTGAACGAATTAGTGGGGTAGGGAATTATCAGGAGTTCAACACCCACCTCAGCATGCACCAAGGTTGGGACTGAAAGTATATAATAATGGTGTAGCGACTCTAGGTTCCCTGAAATTGCACTCCCAGACGGTTTCAAGCGGTTTCCGAATGGTCTTACGGTGATAATATTTTAATAAACAACCAAATTTTTAAAAATTATTATGATTAGAATCACATATTATCGTTTGCACTTAACATTCTTAATACAGTTTAACGATGAGTTCGCATGTCCTCGTCACCAGTGGCGTATCTAGAAGTCTTGAAATGGCGCGGAGGTGAAGTAGGGGTCTCGATGATCAGGTGAGGGGCGCTAATTCGCAAAATAAGGTGATTAGAGAGGTATAGAGAGCAGTTGACTATGCTGATGCTAATGTCACCGACGAGAACAAAGTGGGCAATATGGCAATTTAGGGATTTCAAAGGCTTATTTAATTGATTTTAGAGTCCATTAGTATTTAGCATGTAGAAAATACATATTTTTTCCCTCTCCGAATCACCCCCCCCCCCAGGCCCGTAGCCAGGTCATTTCAAGGGGGTTCTCTGGGCGTGAGGTCCAGGGAGCCTGCCTAGGGCCCCGGTGGCCAGAGCAGTTTTTGTGTTTAATAGGTCTATATAATGTTATAAAAGCAGTATGTTTTGAAAAAGATCTATGTAATAAAAAGGTGGTAATATAATAAAATTAGAAAATATTTCCTGAGTGGATTTCCCGTACGATTAAAAATCGTAACGGTACCGCATCGTGAGTGGATTTCCCGCACGATTAAACATCGTAACGTTACTGGGTTTGGTCTACAGGAGTTCGTGCTTCGAACAGGTCATTCCAATCATAGAAGAAGCCTTTTGATGGAGAAAGTGTACTTTTTTAGCAAAGGTTTGCCTAGGTCGAAACTAACTCCGGCTATATAAAAATTGATTAGAATATTGAAA